GAAGATAAGGGTAAGGAGGAGAGGAGAAAAGTGCGACCGCCTCCAGTCATATGCTCTAGACTGGATAGAGATAAGTGTGCATTTATTTATTTATCTTTTTTTGTGAGTTTTTTGTAATGGGTTGGAAGAAGTTTGACCACTGACCAAAGACTGTTAAACACACAAGGCTCATGGAAAGAGAATAAATGTATGAGAATCTCCATTTAAAAATGAAAACTCATTAAGAAAAGGTTCGTTTGACTTTAAAATGACAGCTTTAAATTTGAGCTGTCCTTTATTTGTCAAAAAAAAAAGTGTCAAAATAAGGGATGCCTTTGAGGGCGTAGTGGCCCAGAAACAAGAAAGACAGCATAAAAGTTAGAAATTTAAGAGCAAAGATAAATTTAAAGGTTAACATCTCAGTGTATTTAGCATTGGTCCCTAGCCTACATCTCATTTCTCTGTTCTTCTTGTTCTAGCCTCACTGCAAGCATTACAAGCTTGCAATATATCTGCTTCATTTCTCATTGAATATCACGCAAACCACCTGACCATGAAACTGCTTGTTAGTCAGTAGTCTGAATAATTTTGAGCTTCTGAAAATGAAGGTTGTGTATAGAAATGGAGGTAATTCTTACACAGTTTAGTTTGGGCAAGATTTCTTGAATTGAAGCTAAAAGCCTGAACTTCGAGCACATATTTATGGTTTGATTTAATATCTGCTGCAGTGATGTACAGAGGCAAAACTAACTAAGCACTGTAGCTTGTTCGTCTGGAAACTTCAGAAAATGAATTACATTTTCTCAAATTTAAGAAAGTGCCTCAAGCTGTTGTTTTTGTTTTTTTCCTAATGGCCAGTAGGAACTGACTCCTCTAGTCATGGAAAGAAGTCCTTTAAAGTGCATGGAAAAACCATCTCACTGTTCACATGATTCCACATAAAACTTACTAGCCATGGATAGTATGCTAACATGTTCGATAGAGACTATGTCTGTAACATACAACCAGTACTGTCCAAAACTGAGGGAAAAAAAATTCTGTTGTTAATCTAATGGTGCAGCCTGTCCACAAAGACTTCAAATTAGTTTGTTTAGCTTGAGGTGTACCCTGATGTAGAAATTCTTAGGCTTCCCTTACATCCTAAATCCCAGTATAACCCCTGTTCCCCATGCTTTTGTTTCTGCTGAGTCAGACTTTGGTACTTGGTGTACATTGCCTTGTTTTGACAGAACTATGTTTTCTGACCAAAATACAGCAGATCAGTAACGTAGATAACCGTTGTGTTTCCTATAAATATAGTGTACTAAAATTAATGTGTTGGTTCCAGGCATTCAAACATGCATCTATTCAAAATGGGTAATGCAAAGCAAATGTTGTCACTGATTCACATAGTAGTAGGACAGGCCTAAACAAATGAAACAAACTGAGTGATGCAACAAAAGGATCAAAAGGGGAGGGGAGAAGCAAGGGGCCTAGAAAATAGAAACAGCAGACTGGAGGTAATGTTCAAGATGGAAATGGTCAGCAGCAGTACAGAAGTAGGTTGTGGCATTTAAACAATGTTCAGTGTGCCAAGAAAATATGCCCACACATTTTTTCCCCACTCTCCAATTTTGGTGAGCACGTACAAATTGTATCCTCAGTTTCCTGTTCTTAGGTGATATTAGTGGCGCCCACTGTGGTCTTCTACTGCTTTAGCCCACCTGCTTTGAAATGTTGTGTGTTCGGAGATGCTCTTCTGATTACCTTGGCTATAACAAGTGGTTATTTTAGTGCTTTCCTGTTAGGTTCAATCAACAATGTCTTGTTTGCTGCCTTAGATTACACTGTTATCAGTACTATTATCAGCTTCTTGAAAAACAGCACACAGGTTACTGTACCCTGCAATTTTGCTCCCAGAAGGACTTTGGCACAAACTGGACATGAAAATGAGTCTTAATGAGTCGAGGGGTGGTGGGCAGCTTGTCTGCCAGGTCTTTCCCTGCATGGAGGGGTGATAATGGAGTAAGGAAAACCCTAAAATGGGAAACAGGTAACATGATAATATAACCATAGCAATATGACTGATTGCCATCCCGTCTTTGGATTTAGGTTACCAATCTCCAGAAAGGGTACTTTTTCCTAGATGGGGATGGTTTTTTGCCTCTCTGGACACATCTGACCAAAATACAGCAGGTCAAGGATCTGATTGACGGATTTGACTGCGGAGAAGAAAAAGACTGTTGGCAGTTGTGGGTAGTGAAGTCAAGCTTATTTCTACAACTCCTCTATAAAGAGAGTGATACAACAAATGATTAACAGCACAAAAGCCCTTGTGCTTAGAGATCAAGTCTTTGGTTGAACTCAACAAAAACACTAGTGCCAAGTTACAAACTTTCACATTTTGTCAAATAAATTGATTATCGATTGCTCCTACATGCATTCAAACTACTTTCTTTGTTTTTAGCTCAGAATTACATGCTTAACAAGTAAAAACTCCATGAAAGGAAATCAAATTGTAGCTAAAAAAAAGATACTAAAACGGTTTTGTTTAGAGATATCATACATAATGTTTCAGGGTTAAGGAACATGATCTAGGTTCTGCCTCGATTCTTTGAATGCATTACTCCCTCACCAGCTGAGTGTTTTCTACCAAACGTCTGGTTGCGAAACACACCACTATCAGCGTATCCGAGCTTTGCGTTGTGTTGTGAAAGTCCAGCACTTCCCTCTTGTTCATACAAACCCAAATCAGAAAAAGTTGAGACAGTATGGAAAAGTATAGATTAGTGATTTCTAAATTTACTTTGACTTGTGTGTCATTACAGACAATATGAACACAAAATGTTGTCATGTTTTGCCTGGTCAACTTCATTTCATTTGTAAATATACATCCTTTCCTGTCATTCAGACCTGCAGCACATTCCCAAAAAGGATCCAGTTGTGGGGCATCAAGTCATGGGCCTTCTTGTAGTCAATCAAGGCGGTGCACAGGTTGTTGAGCCAGGGTTTGTAGTCTTGGCTGCTCTGTCTACCAGTACCTGGTGTTTCACTCCACTGATATTGATACTCGTGCCAATTCCCTTCTGTGCCCACTCATGTTTTGAGCCATATGCCTATTCATCTTAGCCACTATGATGCCTGGACAGGAGCTTCCATGTTGTACTGAGCCAGGTTATTGGCTGGTAGTTAGATAGGACTGATCCATTCTGGGGATCCTTGGGCATCAGGACTTTCTGGCCTTTCTGACATCAGACGCCATTCTGGGTGTCTCTTATTGACTAGCAGCTGGTTCATTTGTGCTGTTAGAAGTTCATTGAGTGCAGCTGGCTTCTTTAGCCGTGAACCATGTCCAGGCCTGGTGCTGTCCAGCTCTTCATACTTGAGACCCTTTCTTGGATGTCCAGCACTGTGATGGTTACTGGACCCTGCTCAGGGTAACAGCCTCCCCAGACCCTGTTTAGGGAGGTTGCTGTGGTCTGCCTTTAGATTCACAAGCCACTGAACATTGTTGTTATACATAACATCCTTGTCCCATATGCTATTCCAGTATTACTCTATCTCCAGACTTGGTGGTGCTGCTGTTCTCATATTGTTCCCCTGCCACTGAGAATACACCTTGGATGGTTCTGTGGAGAACAGCTGGTTTATTCTCCTGCCTTCTATATAACTGGTATACCTATTCAAGCGGCTGGCCAAGGCTGTGTGAGTCAGACTTCACCAGCACCTTTCACCATGGGCCACTCTGGAAAAAGAATGAGTCCAGCCCTTCTCCGGGAGTTTGGTTCCAGGACCCTTATGTCGTGGTGAACCTAACTACATCTAGTTATCTAGGTTTCTTTCCTGCTAGCAAGACAGTTCACTTCCCACAAAACAAAGTCTGTGATGCTTTGGGGCTGTCAATATGCCTAGCCCTTGCCTTTGCCTGCTACCCAGATTACACTGACCCTGGCTCTGGTGCCCTGCCACAGGATGGTGGATTCATATGATTTCTTGAAGCTGTGCCTGAACAAGCCTCATTAATCCAGATCCAGTCACCAATCTGGCTCCAAGAGGGGCCTTGATTTCCCATGGTGAGATTATACGGTGCAGGAATTTCCATTAGCATGTTTTGAATTGCTCTTAATCTGGTGCCTCCCTTGTGACCAATTTCTAATGGGAGACCCTATTAGACAGGGCCAGGAGGACGATCCCCTGTGATAAGGTACATTTGTATTTTATAAATAGTATTGACTAATTAAAATATGATAAGTATAGTTGTATTCATTTTGTCTTGGGTAAACCACATTCTCAAAACCCCCCAGACAGAGGAATTCATATTGATTTCAGCGACACAAACAATACATTGTTGCTAGTTTGGTATTTCTTGACAGAACAATGCAGATTTTTTTACCTGGCTGTAAAATGTAAAATGTAACTAAACCTGAATAAAATCAAATAGAAAACCCTGCAAAACAAATGGACCAGTCATTACCTTTTATTTTTTTTATGCCTCACATGTAACATATAAAAATGCAACAATAAAAAAATGGGCTGTTGGCACTTAGTAAAAAACTTTAAAGTAAACTTTCGTATTACTTTATACTTTAGACATTTTAATCTACAGACCAACTTTAGTTTCAGTATTGCAGTACAGTGTTACTGGTAATGTGCAATATTTTTTTGTTTGCAGTGACATAAATATTCACTTTCAAACATGAAATGCCTTTTAATTTGGGATTAATAATATAAAGCACATTGATTTAGTTAAAGATTTAGATAAAGTCAATCAGTGACCCTTTTTACATACTATATGCCTGGCTCTGTTCAAATTTCAGTGCGGAACTGAAGTGTGGGATCTTTCATCTTCTCCTTGTAGTCTTCATCAAACACTTCATTCTGAGCGACGGTGAAGTGGTTCTTCCAGTCACCAACCTTTCCTGCAGAAACAGATAAAAATCAGTCAGGTATTTTTCCTAATATCACCTCATGCATCACAATATGGTTCAATGTACCTTTTCTCATGAAGGGAGAAATCTTGAAATCTAAAATGGAGAATGTGGAATAGTTGGTCATCTCATCCTTTTTCATCTTATCAAACTGGACTCCACCTGCAATCATTTTCTTCTCCTCAGCTGAATTGGACAAACTGAGGAAGCTACAGAGTTTGTCTATTTCCCGTTCAGTGTCCTGAAAAGATAGATAAGAGTTATTTGGAGTAGGGATGCATCTAAAGGCTGCAGGACAGTAGCTCTCTTGGACTGGAGCTGGAGACCCCAGATCTAAAGCATACCACATTATCTGTCAAACATAGTGGAGATGATGTTTTGGCATGTATAGCTGCCAGTGGAACAAAGTCACTGCTGTTTATTGATGATGTGTCTACTGACAGAAGTAGGATGATTTTTGAAGTGCACAGGGCTATACTATCTGCTCAGATTTATCCAAATGCTGCAAAACTGATGAGACAGTGCGTCATAATATAAACAAATAATGATTCGAAGCAACCCAGAAATTTCTTAAGAGAAGGAAAGGGGATAGTCTTCAGTGGCAAAGTCAGTTACCTGCTCTCAATCCAATAGAGCATGCAGTTTAGTTACTGAAGACAGAGACCCACACATGCAGCACCTGAAGGTGGCTGCAGTAAAGGCCTCGAAGTACATCTCAAAGCAAGTCCATATAGTTATAACTATGTTAGTGTGTCCAGTTATTTTTAAGTTAAAACAAACTGACTGCTTGACTTAACAGCCTTTCTGGTAGTACACAGAGGCAAAATTACAAAAGAAATGTGACATTGTCCAAATACTTATGGACCTAACTGTATCATCACAACATTACAACCATCATTACAGCATTATAAGCTACTAAATGAGAGCTTCAATCAAGTAGCGTAAAGAGAAAGGGACTCACAAAGGAATGTATTACCTCAATCATATCTTCATAGAACATGTAGTGAATGTTTGAGTAAGTCTGTTTCTTCTTCCACCAGCCATTCACATGGTCATACCAGGAGCCAAACACCACTAGGGCCACAGAAACAGGAAAATAGCATTCATACAGTAAATGAAAATTACTTCAATATAGTATTTTATGCATACTTTTTCCTTCCATGAATCTGTGGATGTAGTTGCTCCAGTCGCCAGGCTCTGGGTGAGCAATATTCATGCGATCAAAGTGGAAAAAAGACACCATGTTGTCCTTTGCATTGCGGGCTACATAGACAATCTACAAAAGAGTTTTAAAAAGGAAAAGGAAAAACAAACTCTTAACTCAAATGAATCTCAAATTCTCTTGGTAGGCTTCAAATTGAACTTAAACCAAGTGTAAAACTGCACTATTATTGGTATTATTATCAGCTTCTTGATAATACACTGAGCTGATGCAAACAACAGACAGGAAAATGCAACCTTGCAGTTTTGTTCCCAGAAGGACTTTGGCACAAACTGGATAGGAAAATGAGTCTTAATGAGTCGAGGGGTGGTGGGCAGCTTGTCTGCCAGGTCTTTTCCTGCATGGAGGGATGAAGATGAAAAAAAAAACACAAGTTTGACTGTGTAAAATGTTAATACCAACTAACCAATGGTAACATAGCGATATGATTTTAGCCAAGGTTGAGGAAAAAGAGGCCAACAATCCATAATGGTTTGTAGGTGTTTGTGTAAAATTGGTACATTTGATCAAAAACCTGAAAACAAAGGTGGAACGGCAATCTCCAGGAAGGGCACTCTCTCAAAGATAGGGATGGTTTTCTGTCGCTCTGTCTGACCAAAATAGAGCAGGTCAAGAATCTGGGAGACCCATGTGGTTCCTAAAGTGAGAGGGGGAAAAAGAAGTTAACATGACCCCTACACTGACCTCTATGCACACACCTTGATGAGCTGTAAAGGTTTATACCTCTTTCTTGGACCGACCTGCTTTGGGATATGTTGCAATAAGTATATCATCCGGTCTGGCCTGAAAGTTTTGAACGTTCTCCCAGTTGTTTGT